GGAAAGCACAGACACAGAGGAGTTCCAATGGGAGAGCTTTCGCGGGGAGTTGAAAAAAGCAGCGCTAAATACGTCTGCTGTTTTCTGGATGCGGAGATTGGACGTTGCTTCCAGTAAGTTAAAGAGAGGAGTTAAAAGTGCCAGTCTTCATCAAGCATTCCCGCTTTTTATCACGTTTCCTCTGAACTTATTAGACTGAGATTTTCCTGCCCCCGGGGACTGCTGCAATCCCTGGAGCACCACCTCCATCTTCAACCCCACCCTGGTCACAGGAGTTAAAATTTTCTTTCCCCAGGTTCTCAAAGGTAGAGGCTATGTGCCGAATCCTGGCACCGCTTATAAAACAAAAAACAAAACAACAAACACCTCTCTTCTGCGACGCTTGGTTGTGGTGAACATCAGTTTATGAGTGCACTTCTGTGTTTTAACTTCCCTGTAACCATCTTCCTTGATCCAGAGTCTAATAAGGTCTATTTAACGTTGAACCTTATGCTAGTTTTCCAATCCCAGCCCCAAACCTGGGATTTTAGCAGTTTTTTTCTTCTTTCTTTCCTTCTTCCCTCCTCCCTTCCTCTTTCCTTTCTTTTCTTTCTTTCTCTTTCCAACCCTAGCCAAAAATCTGGCATTTTAGCAGCTTTCTTTCTTTCTTTCTTTCTTTCTTTCTTCCTTCCTTTTTTTGAGACAGGGTTTCTCACTAAATCTGTAGCTCACCTATTTAGCAAAAGTAGTTGACCAGCAATCTCCAGGAATACCCTTGTTTCTACCTCCCCAGCATAGGATTACAGGTGTGCATAGCACTCGACTTTTTACTTAGGTGTTGGATATCCAAATTTAGGCCCTTATTCTTTGGCACCAAACATTTTATTGACTAATCCATCTCTTCAGTCCCTGTTGAAGCCTTTCTTTTTAATTTTTAAAAATTACATTGTTTTTAGTGTGTATCAGGGCACTGAGCCATTTCCTCCTGCCTTGCTCAAGAATTGTAACATAATTCTTCTTTGACTTTATCATTGCTCAAGAATTGTAACATAACTCTTTGACATTATCAGAAACTCCAATCTGCTAAAAGCCTCTACTTTATCTCTTCTACATTAACCTCCTCTACTTCCTTCCTTATCCTAGATTCAATGACATATCATTGCAACCCCAGTCTCTCAGTCCCCCCAATATTCCCTTTCCTTAACTAAGATCTCTACCCAGAAGAGACTTTAGAATGTTCATACCTGTGTCTTGCCATAAAAAAATGATCTGATAGAACAGATTGGAATCACTAAATTATTCATTTAAAATGAATTCTAAACAGTGGCTTTAAAGTTTATTCTTCTACTCAGCTTGATCCTCACTATCTCTGTGAATCTCTAACTCTGTATTCACATACCACTTCCACTGATTACCTTACCATATAAGTAACAGAAAATGTAGAATGCCTTAAAATCTAGAAATCTACTTGCATGTGTTCCCAGCCTGTCTTTCCCTTTATAAATTACACAATCAAAAATTCCAAATTCCTTGTACATGCCTGGCCAGGTACTCGCCTCAGTATTTGCTGAGCAATAGACAAAACTCATTTCCTGCCTTCAGTGATCTTCACTGGTTCTGGAGAAAGAAAGCAAAATACATGGTATCAGATAAGTGCTATGCAGAGCAAAGCAAGGTAAAGATTAAACAGTTTTGTCAGACAACTTCTATTTTTAGATTCTGGAGAAGAACTCCTTGATAAGGTGCCCTTAAACCAAAATGGACTAACTTGAGAGGGATGAGCCATGTCTAGTGGATATCTACAGAAAGAATGTTCAGGCAGAGGAAACAGTATTTGAATGTTCTGAGGGTAAGAACATGTTTGGCAGGTTAATAGGAAGAGGAATACTAACAGTAACCAGGGAACAACCCTCATAGCAAACCATCTTTTATGGCTCAGTGAGAGGCAAGGTAGAAATTGCATAAGGAAGTAACCGGGTGCTCAACCATGCAGTCCATTGTAGACATAAAAGTTACTTTGCCAGTCACTACTAACACCAATGGAAAGTTTTGAGCAAAAACAGATTTAAAACTGTTAAAGAACCATTCTAGTTGTGGCACAGAGGCTAACTGTGGATCATGAAGCTAGAGAATTTAAAAGGGAAGCAATAGCCAGGGGTGGTGGCACACACCTTTGATCCCAGCACTCAGGAGACAGAGGCAGAAGGATCTCTGTGAGTTCGAGGCCAGTCTGTTCTACAGAGTGAGTTCCAGGACTGGCTCCAAAGTTACAGAGCAACCCTGTCTGGCAGAGGGGGGGGGGGGGGGGGGGGAGAGCTAATCCTGGAAGAAGAAGATGGTGTCCCGAAGTAGATGATGTCATTACAGCAGGTGAGAAGTAGTCAGATTTGAAAGTGAAGCTGCCAAGATTTGATGGTATTCTGGTTGTGTAGATTAGAGGGAAATTAAGAACGATGTCAGGTTTGGAACCCAACTAACTAACTGGTAGGATAGCCATGCCATGTACCTGGGGGATGTTATCAGATACATGATTAGCAAGAAAGAGGGATGCAGAATTGATTACATAACAACTTGGCATTAGATACTATAACAATAAAGACATTTTGTTGAGTGAACAAGTCAGTCACAAAATTACACTCTTGAAACTAGAAAAATATGGAATGGTGATTTTAAAGGGGTAGCAAAAAAGAAAACCTTTTTGTTGTTGGGGTTTTATTAGGGTTCTCTGGAGTCACAGAACCTGTGGAATGAATCTTTTTCTATATATGTAAAAGTTATTTATTGGAATGATTTACTGGTTGCAGTCCAACTAATCCAACAATAACTGGCTGTGAAAGTCTAGTAGAATCTACTAGTTGTTCAGTCCCACAAGGCTGGGTGTTTCAGCAGGTCTTCTGTGTATGCTGGAATCCCAAAGAAGTAGGCTCCAATGCTAGTGAAGGAATGGGTGTACTATCAAGGTGAGGGCAGGCAGGCAAAGAAGAACTAAACCTTCCTTCTTCCATATAAGCTTCCAGCAGAAGGTGTAGCCCATATTAAAGGTATGTCTTCCCACCATAAGATCCAGATCAGAGGTGTGTGTCATTCTGCCTCAAGATCCAGATCAAAAGCTCGTGTCTTCTATCCTCAAGTCCCAGATCAAAGGCATGCTGTCTTCCTGCCTCAAGATCCAATCACAGGTTTACTCTCCATTGCTGGATTATAGTACATCCAGATATGGTCAAGTTGACAACCAAGAATAGCCATCACAGGGTTTTTAATTTTAGTTTGAGAGGTGGACATATAGGCATGGAGCCCAGAAGAGAAACTTGGGTGTCCTGTTTTATCCTTCTCTACCTTATTCCCTTGAGACAGGGTCTTTCACTGAATCTGGAACTACACTAGTGGCTAGCAAGCCCCAGAGATCCTCCAGTCTCTGCCTACCATAGCACTGAGGTTTGATGGATTTGACTAAAGTCCTCATGCTTGCACAGCAAGTGCTTTACCTACTGGGCCAGCTCTCCAGTCTGAAGTTGTGATTTTTGTTTGTTTGTTTTGTTATTAAGACAGGGTTTCTCTGTGTAGCCCTCTCTGGATGTCCTGGAACTCACTCTGTAGACCAGACTGGCCTCCAACTCAAAGATCCTTCTGCCTCTGCCTCTCGAGTGCTGGGATTAAATGTGTGCACCATCACTGCCTGGCCTTTTTTTTTTTTTTTCCCTTGAAAGCAAAAAAATTTTATATAGCCTTAAGTTCCCCTTCTTAGTTCTCAGAAATCTCCATTTAGCCTTTTGTAATATTAGATCTTTCAGTATTCAATCAAATCCAAGTCCCACCCTCTTTGTTATAATTTAAAAAAGAAATGGTGGGAAGGAGTCACACAGTGCAAAGGGCTCACATGGGAGGTTTATTGGAAGAGGAGAGAGAAGGAGCAGAGAAAGGGGCAAGAAAATAAAAAGCTTTCCCCTTAATCCAACATTCTGTGTGACTAAAGTGTATATTCACTATCCTTCCTGTCAAAACTTAGAAGTATTGCTCTTCTCTTTGCAACCCAAAATTGATCTTTTTCCTTCTAAAACATTTCATGGCTCCCATTGCTCTTGAGATCAAGGCCTAGATTTCTTCACATAGCCTGGAGGACCCTAGGGAGATCTAGATCTTTGGTTTTAGCTCCTCTTCAGGTTATAGTATTGGGCCCAGGAAAGCAACCCCAATGATGTCAATAGCTGAGACAGACTACTCTTTTTCCTAGCCTAGAAATGGGGTATTAGCAAATGTGATATAAGAGATGTTTGAAACATGGTAACAGGGGCTATCCTCTCTTGTTACTGGGCATTCTCTGACTGTCACATAAATAACTCCCAATGACCTAATGGCCAACAGATGCAAAGACATCACTCCATCTGACATTAATCAGTTGCTCTGTATTCAACCATGGGCCCTTAGAACAAATAGCTTTTGGATCACTAGATATGT